CGCAAGCTTTGAAGCTGAAATTTTGCCAGTGTATTCCCCAGCCAAGTGCCACCCCAGGACCGCGGTATCAACTCTCATGCACGTTTGAGCCCCGCGTACGAGCACGTGAAAGTTTTGGCGCGAAAATTGCTAACCTGGGAACGGGAAAGACTGGAAAGCTGAAACTTTGGAGGAATGTCCCCTACTCTTGTACGACCAAAATTAGTTGTTTAGAGGCGCCAGAGACCCATGTGAAAGCTTTGGCGCGAAAATTACTAACCTGTGAACAAGGAAAGCTAGAAAGCTGAAACTTTAGGGGGACGACCAAAATCAGGTGCTTAAAAACCCCGGGACTCAAGTGCGGGCACGTGGGAATTTTGGCGCGAAAATCGCTAACCTGGGAAGGAAAAAAGCTAGAAAGCTGAAACTTTTGGTTAATGTTCCCTACTCATGTATGACCGAAAGATCTCAAATTCAGCCTCTTAAAACCGTCTGGTACTCAAGTTCGGATACATGAAAATTTTGATGGGAAAACTGCTAACTCGGGAGGGGATGTTTCCTACTCCTGCGCGATTAAAAGATTTCCAATTTAACTCTTCTAGTGCGGCCTTTTTTGCGGACCAGCAACTTTCTATTTGTCGGCTTACTCAAGTCGACATCTACAACTGACATACCACATAGCTGCACAGTTAACTTCCTGAACCTCGAGGGCCAGTACGTCACAGGGTTAGCTACTGGGATTTGTTGGGGACTTGCTGCGGCACGAAAAGCGCAAAAAAGCATAATCGCACCGGCCCGCCTGGTGCGTTCTAGCCTGGTTTTGCATAGTTCTCCGCAGTTTTTGTCGCTTCCCGCACCAGTTCCTCCGGCAAACGTTTCTAGCTAAACAAATTAAGACTGGCCGCCAAAACTGTCAGGAAACACCCCCTTAAAATTTTAGCTTTCTAGCCTTCCTGTCTCCTGAGTTATCAACTTACCCGAGAAAAACTTTGGTGAGGCCGTGCGTGGGCACCACACATACTCGATATCTGTGTTTGAGCTCAGTGAGATTTAGGTGAACGAGGAACATCCTCTTAAAATTGTGGTCCTTTAGCTTTTCAAATTCCCGAGTTATTAATCTACCCGAAGAAAACTTTGGCGAGCCCGTACGCGGGTAACACGCTTGCCCGGGAGCTAGGTTTGAGCTCTTTAATACTTACTTGGACGAGGACATCCCCTTAAGATTTCAGTTTTTTAGCATTTCAGACTCCCGACTTACGAATTTACCCGAAAAAGCTTTGGCAGGTCTGTACGCGGGTACCACGCTTACCCGGGGGCTGGGATTGAAATCATTAATAGCTACTTGGACAGGAAACATCCCCTTAAAATTTCAGTCCCCAAGCGTTTCTGGTTCCAGAGTTAGCGGCCCACTCGTAAAAGACTTTGGCGGGCTCTTGCATGAGTACCAGGTGAGTAAGACCGCCCATTTTTGGAATCTTGGCCCGACCATACATGTAGATCAAGTTCCCAAAGTTTCAGCCTTGTAGCTTTTATATGTCTCGAAAATTGCTACGGAAGTCCAGCGAACACGCAGACACATACACAGACACACACAGACAGCCTCTCGTCAATATGTGTTTTCCGCCTTGCATAGCTGCAAAAAACGCATAAAAAGAACGAATCAACCTAACAGGCTCCGGAGAAATCGTTTCAATAAAACTAACTGCGCTATAATCGCGGATATTGGTTAAAGCTGCAAATATCTGGCCGAGAAGCTTTTTCGATGCGTAAAACGGTCCGAGTATTGTCAACCTTAAGGCTGGCTTATAGACCTTCGCAGCTACAAAAATACGACTATGCAGAAGATACGTGAAAAAAAGCAAGGGGCCACTTGGGCAACCTTCAAGGTGTTAGCGGCGAATGTTGATTGAGAACATACAGTCCAAGACCGAAAGATCCGGTTATGCGTTTTTGCATATGTGCAAATGTTAGAACGCATATTGTGATGAACCCCGGTGTGTGTGTGTGTGTGTGTGTGTGTGTGTGTGTGTGTGTGTGTGTGTGTGTGTGTGTGTGTGTGCTTGTGTGTGTGTGTGTGTGTGTGTGTGTGTGTGTGTGTGTGTGTGTGTGTGTGTGTGTGTGCGTCTGGCTGGGTATTTTATTTCAACTCGGCAACCAAGCAAGCTTCGGCGCCAAAATTTTGCCACCGGGCTCCTCGGCCAACTGCCACCCAAGGCAGTACCAACCCCCACGCACGTCTGGGCCCCGTCTACAACCACGTGAAAGTTTTTGGGGAGAAAATTAACAATTTGGGAACCAACAAAGGTAAGGGACTGAAATTTACAGAGGATGTTTCCAGCTTACGTACGACTTAGAGATTTCAAATTCAGTCTCCAGTTA